CCCTTCCCCTCCCTCTCCTCCGGGGTTTGTTCTGCTCTAGTCTCTCTGCGTCTTCCTTCCAGAGCCTGACTCAGGGATGGCTCCATAGGGACCCTCGTGCACAGTCATCCGTTAGTCTGGGGACGTCCTAAGGTGGACGTGCAGTGCATGTGGGGAGCCGCCCCATAGCCTGCATCTCCTCTTGGTCCACCCAGCCCCGGCCTGGCCCTGTCCAGGAAGGGGTCTGCCACCTGCCCAGATGGCACCTGACCCATCCTGTACCGTCTTGCAGAGGTGCCCGATGCCCCGGATCTTGAAGGAGCCAGAGGGTTGGGCACTGTCCATCTTGAGATAGACGCTGGTGCCGGCCACTTTGGACAGGGCCATGCTGTCCCGGATGGGTGTCTTCACGTGCAGGGTCTCTCCAGACGCCATCGCTGGGACAAAGGTCAGAAGCCCGGAGGGTCAGGAGAGTGGACACCATGCTGGCTGTGGGCACCCCGAAGCCAGCGGCCCCGCCCCTCATTCCCCGGGGAGAAGGACAAAGTGGGTGGTAGAGTACAGGCGAAAGTGCCCAGGTCCCCACAGGCACAGTCCAGCTGCCTCCCCGGCAGGACCTCAGGACACTACCAAGAAACTGCTGGGCAGGGGGCTTCTCGGGAGGCCGCTCAGCCCCCGTGCCTCTGTGCTGGCTGGGTCTTGCCACAAACACAGACATTTCTGTCGTGCTGTGGATGGAGCCAGGGCCTTGGCATGCGGGGCGACCGCTGGCCACGAGTCAGCCCGGCTCCACTGTTGTCCTTAGTCATCACTCTCCACTGGTCAGCACGAGCCGGGCACCGTGATGTCATTCGGGGCTTTTCCCAATCCTGGGAGGCCACCACAGTCCTTCCCACCTGGACACACCTCTCATGAAGCCACACCGTGACAGGCAGGCCAAGCTTCCTCCCGAGCCCTGGGCTCCCGTGACTTGGGGGCAGGGACATTATGTGATGTCCAAGCTGTGGCATGTCAGCAATTGTTTAGCAATCAAGGGACTGAAAGCCCTGACGGTGACGCGGGCCACCTCTGTGACGTCCCTACTCTTGCCAGGGACAATTCCAAATGTCCAATGTGGAGCTGGGAAGGGAGGGACACAGCCACCTCTAGAGTCTGCAGGGTGGCTGCTGTCATCACTGCCCCAAGCCGAGGTCAGAACAGCCGGCTGGACCTCTGTGGGCTCCCTCCCTGGGTGGAGGCCCCTGGGGGTCCACCCAGGGCTGGGAGGTCCCAGCTGGCAGTGCTGTCCACTGCGAGACGTGGGGTAGGGGAGCTTCGCAGTGACTCTGGCTCAGCCGTCATCCCCCGCGCCCTGAGAGGACCCCAGGTAGGCCCCGCCCCCTTGAGCCCTGTCCAGCCCACAGCACCGCTGCCGGCTGCAGCCGTTTCTGGGTAGTTGGTGACACAGCGGCCACACCAGCATGTCCTAGGTCACAGCAGGGAGGCGGGGTAGGTCTGGGGCAGGCTTCCCGAGCTCAGGGTCTCCCCAGGACCCTGGTGTGGCTCAGGCCACCCCTCCTGTGCTGGCTCTGAGTGGTTACAGTGGAGATGGCCAAGAATCCAGCCCACGCACACCCCCGTGGCCTTTCCGTCCGTCCCTCTCTCTTGCTGAAAGCCACAGAGAGACTCCTGCCCCCCAACTTGGCCCGGGGCAGAGGAGATCAGCAGGTGGTCAGCTCAGGGGCCTATCTGGGGTCCCCGCACCCCCCAAAAGCCTGGCACCAGGTGTGGCTAGCCCGTGCTCCACCTTCCCGTCCCTCGTCTGGGTGCTCCTGGCTCAGGAAGCCCCCTCCCCCAGACTGGCTCAGACACCTGGCCAGTGGGGGGTCCTGCACCAGCCTTGGTGCCCTCACATGTGGGAGCCCCAAGCTGCCTGGGCTGATGGGCCCCTGAGGCCTCCCCCCTTACATCTCCTGAATGCCATCAGAGAGCAGGGCCTGACCCCGGCAGTGGACGCTGGTTCTGACCCACAGACGAGGAGGCCTGCACAGCTCACCATGCCCTGGCTGCCAGTGCAGGAGCCCACCCCAGGGACCCCGGGACATCTGGAGGACCCTGTCCTGCAGGTCACAATTCTTCCCACAGATGTGGAGCCAGGTGGGGGGCCTGGCACAGGAAAGCCACCCCTGCCTCTGTGCACCCGCCTTGGCTTGTCACCCCCACCCTCGTCCTCTCACTGGGCCCGTGGCAGGTGCTCAGTAAATGTCACCTGTTATTATGAAGTGCTCTCTCATTTCATCTGCAGCAAGCTCCTACTGCCACCCCCAACTGACAGGTAGGAACACTGAGGCTCAGAGCGGGCCGTGCACCCAGCCGCTGGCTCCAGAGCACGTCACCAGCCCTGTCACCCCTTGTCCCCTGGCAAACCCTGGATGGTCCTGGGGTGTGACTGAGGATGGGGCCACTTACCAGGCACAGTGAACGAGCTGGATGTCTGGACAGAGCGAGGGAGCGAGAGGGAGATGGTGTTGATGGTCTCAGGGACCCAGGGAGGCAGCTGGACTGTCCTGAATCCTCCCTGGGCTCCTGCTTTATGCCTCGGGCAGCCAATGGGCTCGCAGGGCCGGCCCCGCCCCCGCCCCACCCCCGCCCTGCCCCCGTCAGAAGCTGGGGTTCCTGGAGGTGGGGAGCTGCTACGCTCCTGTCCACAGGGTCCTCCTGCCTTCCCCCCACCAGTGTCTTCACTTGCAAACAGGACAACACCTTTCCCAGGGACCATTATAATAAATCTAAAGTCCCTGGTGTGTGCTTGGCCTACGGTAGGTGACAGAGAAACAATAGCCACATTAATAAGTGTCCAGCCACAGAGGAGGTGGGGACTGTTATTACCGCCACCTCACAGCTGGGAGACGGGGGTTTCAGAGGTGGTCACTTGCCCCAGGTCACAGAGCTTGGAAGAGGCAGGAGTTGGCACGGGGACCCGGCAGCCTGACCCCCAAACTTGCGATCCAAGCACAGCTCTTCGTTGCTGTCCCCAGTCCTCCTTCGAGAGTCTTTTGGCACACGGGAGCAGGTGGCCAAGACTCAGGGGCTGGAGCTCCAGCCTGGCCTGTCGTGCACAGCTGTGTAGCCCTGGGCAAGCCGCTTTCGCCCCCTGCCACCATGGTGTGCTCACTTGTACAGTGGGTGACAATGGCATCTCCCTCCTGGTCTCAGAAGACAGGAGAAGGTATTACGTAAGGGGCCAGGAACTGAATGAGTGTACAGTAAGTTAGTCACCACCACCACCATCACCACCTCCATCACCACCATCACAACCATCACCACCACCACCATCACCACCACCACCAACATCACTATCATCACCATCATCACCACCACCACCACCACCATCATCATCACCAACACCACCACCACCAACACCAATATCACTATCATCATCACCACCACCACTATCATCACTATCACCAACATCACCACCACCATCACCAACATCACCATCAACATCACCACCATCATTATTGCCACCACCATCACTATCATCATCACCACCACCACCTCCACCATCACCAACACCATCAAGGAACTGGCGCATGTTGCATTTGAAAACTCCCTGCCCTAAACCAATCCTTGGGTCTGTCCCTGGCTGTGAGCAGAGGTCCGTCTGTCCACAGGCGCGCACACACACACACACACACACACACACACAGTCTGGCTGGTCTTTCCCTGCCTCTCAACAAAGCTCTCTTGTCGGCCGGCCAGGAGTAGAATGTTGATGAGCCGCAGGGCGACCAGGGGAGACGAGGGCGGCCAGGGCACACTC